TTTTTCTATACCGGTGGGGACTTTTTTTTATTGCAATAAAACCCTTTTCTCCAGCTGTCGGTTGCCTTTTCTGCCACTTTGTGGATTGATGTCAGTAATAGATTACGTCACGACTTGATTTGGAGAGAAAGAGATAATGGGTGTCTGAGCGCATGTAGAGATGGTACTGTGTGTGTAGTGCGAGTCATCTGAACGCTGCTGTCTGTCACTCTGTTCACAGGTTGGTTTCTCCTGAACAGTCCACCAAGACCAAGTTCCTGACTCTGGGCTCTAAGTTCCGCTACAGCGGCAGAACGCAGGCGCAGACGCGACAGGCCAGCTCCCTCATCGACCGGCCCACGCCCTACTTCCAGCGCACCTCCAGCAAACGCATCTCTCGCAGTCTTGATGGAGGTATCGCACTTAATTTGCTCTGTCTGTGTGTCACAGGAACACTTGGTCTTGTTTCCAGCTGAAGTGAAGCATGACTTCTGCCTCACGAAATGAAAACAGCTAGTCCCGTCCCCGTTTGGCGCTCGAGTCAGTGTTGTGTCGGGCTGGTTGTGATGCTCAGACACGCACAACAATATTTTAATAATCCTTCACATGTTAAAATCTAGTTTTTCTTGCCACATGTGTCCTTTAATTGGAATTGAAATTATGGACTGGGCAATATAGCTTTTATATTTATACCTTTTTAAAAATTATATATGCAGATCTTTCCACATTTTGATGATATTTAGTATATATCTTGAATATCGATTTTGCAATTGCTTTCTCAAAAAAAAGGTGATTTGTTTTTTTTTTTGTCACCTATGGAAAAAAGTACAAATAGTTTTTTGCTAAATCAGGGCTAGTTAAAAAAAAATCTAGACATAGTAATCTCTTACTGCTTTTTTTCTGAATCACCAAACTAAAAAGGAACAGGAATAAAAATAGGGTACCACTGTACTAATATAACAATATGAAATACAAAAATATGAAAATTATACAAAGTGCAGTCTTTCTTACCAAAAGCTGTGGTTGCTGTAACAGCAAAAAAAAAAAAAGAGACAAATAAGACAAAAAAATAAGACAAAACGAGAAAAGAGCGCTCCCTTTAAAATCACTGAAGCTGTCAATCACTTAAGCGTTATAATCAATGAATCTCTTATTTTTCTTTGTGTTTAGATTGTTAGTTGAGACACGCTAAATGAAAGCCTCCAGTGTTTTGAGTGTATTGAGCAGATGTGCAGCTGACTGACTAAAACACATCTGATTGGTGCTCAACAGAAATGTCTGTAATTGGCTACAGTGGTCAATGCTTCACAAAGCTTTGACGCTCTTCACAGAGTGCAAACACACGCACAGGAGTTGTGGGACGAAAAAGGGGTGTTAGATTGACTTAAGTGTAAGCTGAACCTTTAATATTCAGCAGAATTATCGCAATAATATCCCTAATATTTGATGTATAGCCCAGCCCAATTGGAAATACACTTAGCCAAAGCTGGGTGCTAAAATGATTTATTTTTGTGTAATATTTTCATGCATATAAAGTGTTGCCTGTGATGTGTGTTCAGGCCGTGGTTCAGCTCTGTGTGTGTGTGTGTGTGTGTTCGTCAGTGCCCTCACACAAACACACACAGGAAGTCTTTTATCTGCTCCCACAAACTCTTTGGTCTCTTAGAAAGGCACTGAGGCGCAGCGCCTGTTTTTCTTCAATACAACATGCCCAAATCTCATCTGTGCCCTCAGAGGAGCAGAAAACAAGCGTGACGCAGCGTGTTTGTCAGTGAACTCTTCCCACTTCCAGGTTATGAACTCTTTATCTGCAGGAAATCTCCCAGCGGTGAATGAGGCTCTTCAGCTGAGGTCTGTGTGTGTACTAGTTTAACCTACATTATAGAGTCCAAACTAGGGTAGTAAAACCTGAAATCATCTGCAGCAGTCCTCCTGAAGAAGACTGATTAATAAACACTAAATAATTGATATGTAAAAATGCAGATATGTTTCTGTGGGGTCAGCTTCAGGGTGAAACACCAGCCCCACCGTCATTTGAGCTTTTCTTAATGATATAAAAACTCAGTTCAGTTGGACAGCGGTCCCTTCAGCTCTGAACTGAAAGCGTTAGCTCCGTGATAAATGAGTGACCTACACTGAGTAAATCACCGCTCCTGTGAATGGGGCTTCAGTGTTTATTATGCATGTTATTCACCTCTCATTTGTCATGATTTTTCTCTCTATATGAATGAACCGATTGGTTTTTCTGCGGTTTGTCCATCGCTGCCGTTCTCGTGTCCTGATATGTTTTCTGCTGAGGAGTGATCTTGTGTTGTATTGTTGTGTCCGCGTGCATGAATAGATGTAGCCGCATTGTCCCGGCTGTCTGTCGTGGACAGACACAGGAAATGAGGGACATCTGTTTCCTGTCTGTGGAGCAAGCAGAGATGAGCTCAGAGGAAATGAGGGTTTTATAGGCAGAGCAGAATGAAGCACAGAGCAGTGATACAGCACAGAAAGAGTCAGCGTCAGGCTCCACCCCCAAAATGATCATACAGGTCAAATATATACAAAAAAATATGAACTATGTTTTGACCTTTGAACCCTCTTGACGTTGCAGCAGTTGACTTATTTCGCATGTGTTTTACTCACTCAGTTGGCAACGTTTTTTTTTTGTCCCAAGGAAGGTCCAATAATTGAAATTCCTCTTGCAGAAACAGAAGTAAACGCCCACTGCTGTGATTGGCTAACCTCGTCTCACTGTAGCCACGCCCTCACGTACAGCATGTTGTGTGTTTTGATGCTGGAGATGGCAAGCGCTGTGATAGAGCCATATATGTGACCCTGGACCACAAAACCAGGCATAAGGGTCAATTTTTTGAAATTGAGATTTATACATCATCAGAAAACTGAATAAATCATCTTTCCATTGATGTATGGTTTGTTAGGATAGGACAATATTTGGCCGAGATACAACTATTTGAAAATCTGGAATCTGAGGGTGCAAAAAAATCTAAATATTGAGAAAATCATCTTTAAAGTTGTCCAAATGAAGTTCTTAGCCATGCATATTACTAATCAAAAATTAAGTTACTTAAGTGTAAGCTGAACCTTTAATATTCAGCAGAATTATCGCAATAATATCCCTAATATTTGATGTATAGCCCAGCCCAATTGGAAATACACTTAGCCAAAGCTGGGTGCTAAAATGATTTATTTTTGTGTAATATTTTCATACATATAAAGTGTTGCCTGTGATGTGTGTTCAGGCCAAGGTTCAGCTCTGTGTGTTTGTGTGTGTGTGTGTGGAAGTCTTTTATCTGCTCCCACAAACTCTTTGGTCTCTTAGAAAGGCACTGAGGCGCAGCGCCTGTTTTTCTTCAATACAACATGCCCAAATCTCATCTGTGCCCTCAGAGGAGCAGAAAACAAGCGTGACGCAGCGTGTTTGTCAGTGAACTCTTCGCACTTCCAGGTTATGAACTCTTTATCTGCAGGAAATCTCCCAGCGGTGAATGAGGCTCTTCAGCTGAGGTTGTGTGTGTGTGTGTGTGTACTAGTTTAACCTACATTATGGGGTCCAAACTTGGGTAGTAAAACCTGAAATCAGCTGCAGCAGTCCTGAAGAAGACTGATTAATAATCACTAAATAATTGATATGTAAAAATGCAGATATGTTTCTGTGGGGTCAGCTTCAGGGTGAAACACCAGCCCCACCGTCATTTGAGCTTTTCTTAATGATATAAAAACTCAGTTCAGTTGGACAGCGGTCCCTTCAGCTCTGAACTGAAAGCGTTAGCTCCGTGATAAATGGGTGACCTACACTGAGTAAATCACCGCTCCTGTGAATGGGGCTTCAGTGTTTATTATGCATGTTATTCACCTCTCATTTGTCATGATTTTTCTCTCTATATGAATGAACCGATTGGTTTTTCTGCGGTTTGTCCATCGCTGCCGTTCTCGTGTCCTGATATGTTTTCTGCTGAGGAGTGATCTTGTGTTGTATTGTTGTGTCCGCGTGCATGAATAGATGTAGCCGCATTGTCCCGGCTGTCTGTCGTGGACAGACACAGGAAATGAGGGACATCTGTTTCCTGTCTGTGGAGCAAGCAGAGATGAGCTCAGAGGAAATGAGGGTTTTATAGGCAGAGCAGAATGAAGCACAGAGCAGTGATACAGCACAGAAAGAGTCAGCGTCAGGCTCCACCCCCAAAATGATCATACAGGTCAAATATATACAAAAAAATATGAACTATGTTTTGACCTTTGAACCCTCTTGACGTTGCAGCAGTTGACTTATTTCGCATGTGTTTTACTCACTCAGTTGGCAACGTTTTTTTTTTGTCCCAAGGAAGGTCCAATAATTGAAATTCCTCTTGCAGAAACAGAAGTAAACGCCCACTGCTGTGATTGGCTAACCTCGTCTCACTGTAGCCACGCCCTCACGTACAGCATGTTGTGTGTTTTGATGCTGGAGATGGCAAGCGCTGTGATAGAGCCATATATGTGACCCTGGACCACAAAACCAGGCATAAGGGTCAATTTTTTGAAATTGAGATTTATACATCATCAGAAAACTGAATAAATCATCTTTCCATTGATGTATGGTTTGTTAGGATAGGACAATATTTGTCTGAGATACAACTATTTGAAAATCTGGAATCTGAGGGTGCAAAAAAATCTAAATATTGAGAAAATCATCTTTAAAGTTGTTCAAATGAAGTTCTTAGCAATGCAGATTACTCATCAAAAATTAAGTTTTGATATATTTACAGTAGGAAATTTACTAAATATCTTCATGGAACATGATCTTTACTTAATATCCTAATGATTTTTGGCATAAAAGAACAATCGATCATTTTGACCCATACAATGTATTTTTGGCTATTTCTACAAATATACCCCAGCGACTTAACACTGCTTTTGTGCTCCAGGGTCACATATATGTTTGAGCCCGAGATGGAAGAAATTGCAACAGTCTGTTTTCAGTGTGGGGATTGCTTTTGCTTGCTTAATTTCTTAATTTTCAGTATATAGTTTTTGAAGGACTACTGTTACTTGTGTTACAAAAGTCGCTGCAGCTTAAGTAGGTTTGAGAAGTTACATTGTTTCTCATTCATTTGCCAACAGTTGGTTGCAACTTTCATGCTTTCATGCTTGGTGTTTTAATAGCATTAAACGCTGGTTTGACATTTATTACAAACACACTGTAAAATAAATGCGAAAATAAATTCAAAATAAATGCGCTGACCTGCGTTTCCTCAATGTTTGGCACTGCTGTATCTTTCAATAAAAGCTTTTGTGAAAAACCGGCAGCATGTTTAGAATAATTCACAAAACAGTCCGTTGTGAAATATGAACAATAAATGAAAACTTTATCTTTCAGTCGCTCAGGCACGTCATTAAAAATAAACCTCAGCCATGCATTTCTAATGCTCGGATCTTTAGGAAGGCTGTGTAAAGTTTTCTTTTTCCCACTGACAGAACAGAGTTTAACGGCCTTACTCAACAGTGTGATCCAGCGTCAGTATGGCTCTTGTGATTGATGACACGCTCATGTTTTAAATCGTGAGTGGAGATTGTAAACGCATGCGGGCCGCTCCCCATCGATTCATGTGCAGCCGCTATGAACACTGATGAAAGCTTCTGAGAATCTGCTTTCCCAGCTCCTCTCCATTAATATGACCCCGTTTTTCCTCCTGCTGGGAATCCAGTCAGGGCCGTGTTTTAATGATGTTGAGTTCGCCCCTGGTGGACGCGTGAGGAACTGCGGGTGGCCCAGTTCTGCAGCGTCTCAGAGCTGTCACAGAGTGACCTGATGAAACGGACGTCCCAGCAGCGCAGGCTACATTAGCCTACTTTCACACAGATCAATCCAGGTCATGCCGATGCGGAGCGGGAGCGCTCACATGTTCTTCTGTACTGTCGGATCCATTATCCACAGGTTCCTAATGGAGAGCGGCGGTGGTGCTGTGAATCTCACGGGGTGTAGTGCACGTTTGAGTGTTAGTACTCCATTTTCAGAAGTGTGTAGTGCATTCGAGAACACTGTCCCATAAGAATGCTTACATAAACCATATCCAGATTGTGTGTGTGTGTGTGTGTGTGTGATTGTTGTCTTTGGATGTAAATGTCATTTGAGCTCAAGGGCGTTTGAGTCCCAGCTGAGGTTTTGGCCATGTTTGGAATGAAATACTGGCTTACTGCATACTGTGCAGTATACTGTATAATACGTACGTTGTTTTTAGTATATGAAAGCAACATTAAATGTTTTAAATCGTAGCGTATGCAATATTGTAGATGCCTGAGTACGTCACATGTATGTTTAATTCGGTAAACAGGGACCAGTTATGTTTATTTTACATGAAGTCAAATTTGTGTTCCTTAAATCTTGGAAATCAAGAAAGAGGAAAAATCTTGGCTGATATTAATTCTGCTTCATTCTCTGACTGGGAATGGAAGTTGTATTCATAATAATGTGTTCTCATTGTACACTACATGTTTTGGCAGATGTAGTTGGTAGTCTGGATGCACTGTCACAGAAATCATTGCTTACTGCAGAATAAAGCTGGACGGTAACTGTTTCTCATGGGGCCTGAGGTCATTTCAGCATTTACAGAGTGTATATATATATAGTGACTTTATTGCCATCCAAATCCAGTGTTTTTCTCCCAATTTCTGACTAAATTACCTACTGTTTTTGACAGACGCCAAGGTCGTGTGGTCTTTTAACTGCCGTCTGAATCCACATCTCTGAGTTTACAAGAAGGGATCGATCCAAAAGTCATTTCGTAAACAATTTTTGTCCGCTGCCAAGCCCTGTAGAGTAACTGTTGCTCTTCTGCAATGCATACGCATGGACGCTTTCATTGCTCAAATGCTGGAAACTGCTTAGAAGAATACTACAGTGTGAGAACAGCGAGTGCGATCTTTAAAGAAGAAAAGAAACGAGAACAAAATCGCAAACTTTTGAAATGGGTCATTATTATAGTGTGCAGCAATTATATTATACTTTAATTGTTATAGACATTTATGTAAATTAGAGCTTGCACAAATTATTTTACTAGTCAAACATGTAGCTGGGTCAAATGTTTAACTTCATGTAAATAAGAGTTTGCATTAAATAATTTCTACTAATTTCCACATTTTTTAAATCACGTGCATCATAGTGCTTCAGTTTTTCCTAATTTTTTTAATAGGATATTTAAATAATCAAATAATAAACTCTATTATTTTCATATTAATAAATAAAGTATGAATTTATTTATTGTCCAAGCACTAACAGACAAACAGCTGTTTACAGCTGACAGTCATGTGACTGATCATGTGAGCAGTAGAGAGTAGATTTGTATTAGAATTAGTTACATTACATTATTTTCAGTACAAAATGTATGCCACCCTGTTCCAGCTGAGGTGTTTATGAATTGATTTTTAATAAACATTAATGATTTTTTTAAACCCAGTGTTTAATGATAAATATAAATGTTTAGTCATACAGTGGCATCTGAGATCACTGTGTTTCTACTGATTCTTTTCTAACTGAATTCAGAATTCTTCAATAAAAATTAAAGAATTGACCAACATAACAGCTTGAGGAAAAAGTTTAATTGAAAAATAAACATGAATGTGAGAAGGTCTTATTTACTTACATTTGATTAGTCACCTGGAAATAGTGCACATCTTCATTTCAAAATCCCACAACTGTTCAAACGGTTTAAATGGAAAAAAAAGTCTCGGATACTCTCTGTGTTCTCTGACAGCACTGTTTAAAGATATGAACGAATGGACTACTGGCTAACAGTATGTTTCTGTGTGTTGTGTGTGTGTGTGTGGCGGCAGCTCCTGTGGTGAACGTGAGTGATTACAGTCAAGCTGCAGGTGCTGGAGAAAACGGCCCGGCTCTGGAGCTCAACTCCGACTCTAAGGTGAGAAAGACCTCTTCATCATCTTCATCACAGTCCTCAGGTCTACAGGAGGTGCCCTGGAACAATAACTAGCTATTACTCCTGCTCAGATGTTAAACGTACAGATCCACTCGTACTGCAATGAGTTTCTCTCTTAGGGTGTTTTATGAAAATACTTTATTTTTCGCCATTTTTTGTATTGATTCTGGTTTGTTTTGTAGAAATGATAACTCAGAAATGATGCTAAGCCTTGAATCATGCTGCCTAAATGTTTTGTAATACACTGGGATCATCCTCTGTTTGGAGGCACACACATACACGGCTCACAATACTCAGAGAAACCCAGCCCGTACTGTACGCCTCGAGTCAGTCTGCCACCCAGATGTGACATTTCCCTGCCCGTCAAAGGCCTGTATTCATGGCGTCCGTGAGCCCTGAAGGAGCGCTGGCATTCCTGCCGCTACCTAT